TATCAGAAAGTACTAGCTGACAGCTCTGAAATTTCAGCCGAAGTGTCCGCAATGGGGCAGAGTAAGAGTGTGCTTTGCTCACCTCCATCCGCAGCAACAAAGCGGGAGCTCTTATGGCGAATGCCAGTGTTGACTCACCTTGACAAACCTGTTTCTGCACAACACGAGCTTGGATGGAGGAATGCTTCTGTCCAGCAGCTGGTTGAGAGTATGAGAGACGGAGTAGCCAGCTCATCACCCCAGTGGCAGTTCAAGGACCTGGGAGAGAAGGAAGCTGCCATCACACCCGAGCCACAGATCCCAGAAAGCATGGATTTGATTGACTTTTCATTGGAGGATGTAACATTTACCGAGCTTCCAGAGGAAGTGTTGGCAACAGGGCAGAGCTCTGCAAGCTTCTGCCCAGCATTGGTAACACCTGCTGGGTCCCAGAGACAGGTGAGAGAATCTATCTTCAGCCACCAGCTCCAGAGACTGGGGATTTAATAGACTTTTCTGCTGAGGGGGGACAACCAGACAAGCCTCCAGCAGAAGAGCTGGCATCGAGGCAGAGCGCTGTTGACCTCTGCCTACAACAATCAGTGGCCCTGGAGGATTTGCGCGAGGCCACCAAATTTTCATTTTACTTCCCAACAGAAGAGCTGGCATCAAGGCAGAGCACCCCTGACCTCTGCCCAACACCCACAGCTCTTACAGAGTTCCAGGGAGGGCAGCCCTTCTTCCCAGCAGCAGGCCAATACAGTGAAACTCCTAACCCCAGCTGAAGCAATACTGGCAATAGGACAGAGGGTCTACTACCTCTGCTCAACATCTACAGCGACACGGTAACCTCAGGGAGAAAATCAGTGTTTCATCTCCTCAGTGGCAGTTCCACAGTCCAGGAGAGGAGGTGGTCATCCTCACTCACCAGTGGCAGGCCAAGTACCAGGGAGAGGAGGTGGTCATCACTCTCCCCAGCGACAAATCCACAGTCCAGAAGAGGAAGTGGTCATCCTTCCTCCCTAGCGGCAGATCCAAAGCCCAGGAGAGGAGGTTGGTCATCCTCCCTCCCCAGCGGTAGTTCCACAGTGCAGGGGAGGAGATGGTCATCCTCCCTCCCCAGCGGCAGTTCCACAGTCCAGGGGAGGAGATGGTCATCCTCCCTTCCCAGCAGCAGATGAAGTCTAGGAGAGGAGGTGGTCGTCCTCCCTCCTAAGTGGCAAGTCCAGTCTGGGAAAGGTGGTCATCCTCCCTCCCCAAGTCAGCTAATGCGGAGGATGTGGGGTCCCCAGCTGAAGCACTGGCCTCTGTCTAGCACCTACCCTATCTCAAGAGCCCCAGGGAGTTTGGCCAGTCAGCCTCTCTCCCCAGCAGCAGACTGAGCCTCAGAAGGGTAAAGACCTACCCAGCTGAAGTTAGTCTGGCTGAAAAAAAAGACACCATCCCAGCTGACCCAGAGGAAGGCAAAAAAAAAACACCAGCAAAGCACGATCCAATTTGCTCCTGGAAGTGCTGGCACCAGGGCAAAGCACCGCTGGCCTGTCTAGCACCAACCTTATCTTCACAGCTCCAGGGAGTTGAGCCAGTCGTCCCCTCTCCCCAGCAGCAGGCTGAGCCATGGAACGGTAAGGAACTCCCTGCTGAATCGCTGTCTGCCGGACAGAGTGTCTACAACCTCTGCTCCGCAACTAGAGGAACTATAGAACTTCTCAGCAGCTAAGATTGGAGATTGTGTGGACCATCTATATGGGTTCACTGTGCCCGACTAACGCATGTCCAGACCAGGTGGAGGTCTGGCACCTGGTTAGTCTACTTTTGAGGCAGGAGAAATGAGACAGACCCAACCAGGACAGAGTCTTTTGGAGGAGACTGCATGCTAGCCTCTTGCCTATGGGCCCTGGCGTTTGAAGGGGTGCTATTCTTTGGGAGGTGTGTGCCTCCTAAGGGACCTTTTGGTGTAGTTTTACCTCAGATTCAATTCCATGTGTCTCCAAAACACACAGACTGAGACCTGGAGAACTAGAGTACAAATTTGGGGTCTCTGTGTCCAAACTAGCATTGACTACTTTAATCCCCCTCCTACACTCAGACTCTAAGCAGATGTTAATATAATCAGCTCAAGACAACCTGATGCTGAAATCTCTTGCTGTAGTCTGTTTATTAAGGTGTGATGTGTTTACCGATGTCTGTCCCATTGTTAATTGGCTTACCTATTGTTTCTGTCTGGCTAGTCCTCCTGGAGGTTCCTACATGGGATTAGTCTAGTCTCAACATGGCACCTTTACCTCATCAGTGTGGGATGTTTAATATTTGTTTTCATTGTTGATGTGGGGACTGTCCTTATTTCTGAAGTGTATAAAAACCTGTATTTCTGTTCAATAAACAGTTCCAGTTCAACATAAGCTAGTGTTGTCTAGTTCTTGGATGTAATGCCCAGCTATAATGTTCTCCACCATCATAGAATGTTTACCTATAGTCTGCTCAGTAACAAGTAAATTAGTTTGTCTTTTACTCCTATCAGTAAAATGGTGAGACCAACATTGAGTTTGGAAACATTTCCACAGTGCAATTTCTGCTGAGAGCAAATCTGCAATTTGCAAATATTGTGAGTAGAAATATTATTTTCCAAATGCTACAAAGATGACAATACACATCCTTGTATGTCAGAGGTGCCCTAAAAACATTAAAAAATACTTTATGGCATGAAATGATGAGGACCATAATGAAAGTGCAAGTAGTTTTTCCCTTCAGAGTTCTCATTCCAGAAACATTCTTTCTGCTGCTACTGGATCATCACAGAAGTGTTTCTTCACCAGCAGCATCTTCAAGTGAGGAAGTGTTACAAACCACTGCCTCCAAAAAATACACAATCCCTTCAATTTATAGAGAAATGACACCAGAAAATCAGAACTTTGATCAGGTTCTTACAAAAGCAATATATGCTTCTGCATCAGCATTATCAATAACTGAAAATTCATATTGGCAGGAAGCTTTTAAATTATGAGAAAGGGGATGGTGACCTGTACTCATGTATAGCTTAAATATTCTTAACAGTCCTTGTTATTCCATTTGTAATAAAAAAACTAAAAAGCAAGGTTAGTTTATTTACTGAATAAGCTGTACCTTTATTTAAATCAGAATACTTTTACATACACTGCATTTCACCTTCCCAGTGTAACAAAATTACTTTCAATTTGTAAAACTACTCCACACTATTTTTCCAAAATTTCCATTCCCCCCACCCCAAAAAAAAATAAAAATAAACAAACCACATATCGAAAGAAAGATGGAAAGTTTGTATCTTCACGTTGTAATACATATTAGCAGTTTCACTATTATTGTTTTTTTGTGTTTGATTTAGGAGTCTTACCTCATGCAATGCAACTCTTGATTTATTTTTGTCTATGAGGTATTACATATATCATTCCTTGTTGCTAGCAGCCTTTATTCACCAGTTTTTGGACTAGAGCAGACAATTAAGTGTAACCGTTAATGCCCGTCAGAGATCTGCAGCTTTGTTGCTGGTCTGTCACCTCTACTCCCAAAGACCTGCAGACATGCTATAATTTTCATGGTTCTGCCCGTTATCCCATAAGACTCCGCTACACACCCAGCCCAATATCTCTGGTTTTTCCCAGATGATTTTGAATGACCCCCAGTGCTACCTAGTGTCCCTAACATTCCAAGAAAAACCTGAATGATCCCCAGTGCTTCCTATGTCTCTGGCTTTCCAAGAAGATTACAAGTGACCCTCCCCTTCCCCCAGTGCTTCCTAGTGTCTCTGACTTTCTAAGAGGATTCTGAGTGACTCCATAACTACTAGTGTCTCTGGCAACCATCAGTTGCTGATATTTGTCTCGGACTTGTTTTATGGTCAAAACAGGGAAGGCATTCTTTTTTCTTAGAGTACATGTCAGATGATATCAGTGACCTTATTTTAACCAGCAGTAATGTATACTAATATTGTTAAAACAGTTTGTAACAAAATACCGAATAAACACAGAAACGCATTAAAAGGTAACACCTTTATTATTTTTTTTTTTTAACTTTAAAAGAAAAAAATTAAAATAAAATTAAAAAAACAAAACAAAAACAGCAGATGGTCACAACAATTTAGTCATTTTCAAAAACCACATAAACCGTAAGTACAAAAGCACCACTAATTATTGCTATAGAAAATGGCATGGAAAAATTCATAAATGCACAGTAAAAAACATCACTATATGCACAAGACTTTTTTTTTTAGTTTTGTTTTCTTAAAAGCGATAAAAGTAGATATGTAATACAGCCTCAAACACGCCCACTAGTGCTATTCTTTTGATATTCTTAAAACTTGCAGACAAAGAAAATGAATCAGCAAAGCATGAATATGAAGAGAAAAATGTTCATGTACATTATATATATGTAAAAGTTAAACTACCATAGTCCTAAAAAAATTAGCATTTACAAAATACTTGAGAAAAATATTTTTTTTTTTCTTAAAGTTCTTCAAGAGGTACGTAAAATCAACGAAAATTTCCATGACCAAGTTATTCTGTCTCGTCATCCGCTGCTTCAGTTTTCTGTGCCTGGGTTAAAAAAGGAGAAAAAAAAAAAAACGAATCAATCAATTGCTGCAATACTGATTGACAACTTCAGCCTTTCTATTTTAAGTCCTAACTGAACTATAATTGTAAGCTAATTTACAGTGTGAAAAAGAGTGCCCTTGTTTAAAAAAAAAAAAAAAAAATACTGTCCATTGTTCACTTGGTGCACTCTCATTTTTGACAAACCCAAGAAGCCTTACCTGAAAGCTTCACATTTTCCACACAGAAAAAAGAACCACACTGCTAGCTCTCTATGCACTGCACACAAACATGATCTACCGTACCCTTAACTTTCACTGTTTCAATCTGCCCTTTTATTGACAGTGTGCTGGGCAGGGCACCTCTGGATGTGGAAACATTAACAGTTGAGCGAGAGATGTGAATCTGTAATAACATCATGGGCAATAAAAAGAAGTATTATGAACATGCAATCCAATGGTTGTACAGCTAAATAAATACACCACCACTGAATCAATCTTTGAAATGTACCTCATCAGCTCTATTTTCACCATTTTCAGATGGAGCAGTACCTTCCTTTCCAGCTTCTTGTTTTTCTTCCTTCTTCCCTTTAGCACCTTTGTTTGCCTTTGTGCCTGGCTCCTTCTGCAAAGGAAACATGGAAGATGAACATTAAATACTGTACATAAAACAATCATGTTCTAGCATGTGTGTGTGTTGAATTTATTTTTCTTCACAAATTTAGTAAACCATTATTTCCAGCACTGTTACTACAAGTATGAGTTTTCCTTTCTGATAGCTAAACATGTATGTTTTAGACATACATGGCACTGTTAAGGGCAGAGGTGCTTTGACCCCTTTTCTCTGGAATTAAAGAAAATAATTTTTTCAATTGTTCCGGGGCACTAAAACACACAGTTCCTAATACAACCCAAATAAATACATATTGTATGTCATATCCTAGAACTTCAATGCTCCTTAAATTCTTTGTAGGACACACTAATGCAGGGGTGTCAAACAGGCGGCCCTCCAGCTGTTGCAAAACTACAAGTTCCATCATGCCTCTGCCTTTGGGAGTCATGTTTGTAACGGTCAGCCTTTCAATGCCTAATGTGACTTGTAGTTTGGCAACAACTGGAGGGCCACCAGTTTGACACCCCTGCACTAAGGTATAGGGAAAGTTTCTCCAAAGTACTCACAGCACAGGCCAATCACTATGTGAGCCATTAGCCACAATTCCTTAAATATTTCACGGTATTTGTAATGACCAATATGGTTACCCCTTGTACAAAACTTCAACCAATACATGGGAATGTCATCTCATTACAAAACATTTTATAACCAAGGGAATGCACTACAAGCTGTAGTTAAATTCTATTTCTTATCTTTAAGGCCTCATGTACACTGGATGGTTTTTCAGCTGCTCCTAGGGGCATCTCTTTTTTCCTTCCTTTAAATGCCCTGTTTACAAGCATCAGATCGTTGTTTTTTTTTGCCAAAATGCTGCTGCCAAAAAGGAAATGCGCCATGAAGAGATACAGAAATGTCCAGTGTGCATGAGGCCTTAAAAGCTTACTTGTAGAACTGAAAAAAAAAAAAAAAAAAAAAAAAAAGTGGCAATGGGCGCAAATATTATAACAGACACAGCTGACATGGTAAGCGAAACCGGTTTTACATTTCCTTAGCATGCAACATATTACATGTTTTGTACTCCCTAATATTTAGTTTGTATTACAATTTTTTTTTTCTATTCACTTTCACTCGGTCAAAACGTAAATGTTTCAGCATAACACCCATTTTAGCAAAACCCATAATGGTATGAACAGGTGAAAACAGCTTAAAAAGTGGAACCTCTCTCTCTCAAATCAACATGAACTATTTGTAATCCTTTTGCTGCTAGCATTAGTAAATAGATAGGAAAATATATTATATATGCTTGTTTTAAACTTTTTAAGTTACTTCCTGGTTTTTGAGTCTAGGCAAATTATGTCATACATCCCAAGAGTCTTCAGGAGGGGTTTTCCCAGCTATGCACACCTTTCTGCCTGCATGCCTAAGCTAAGGGCAGAAGGATCCCAGCATGTAAATGCTACATGAATAATCTGCCCTTACTCAAGATGGTCATGGCCAGAAATACCAGGAAGTGTTTTTCAAAGTGATTTATCAGCAACTAAAAGCATGGAGCCGTGAATGGATGGGAGAGTTTGCTTTGAATACTAAAAATGAATTAAATTGTGTTATTGTTTTGTGGTGTTGAGGTACAGTGCAGATTTGCTTTAAGATAGGAATAATTTTTTTTGCTACCCAACTGAGGTATAGGATTTTCTCCAACACTAAAACCTGAAAAGGAGTGCTAAACCTTCCCTACTCTACAAAATTTAAAAAAGGAAATTTTCCAGGCAAATCTCCCTACTCAGAAATCCCATGCCCAGAAACGAAGCAACAAAGCTAGAACTGCTTTAATACAAAGTATTTAGCTTATGTACTTGAAAGAATACCTTGGCTGCAGCTTTCTTTGGCTTTGCTTCAGGTTTAGAAGGGGCAGGTTTCTAGAAACAAGAAAAAAAGCACAAACAAGCAAATTAAGAAAATGTACTAATTTGCTAAACAATCAATCATGAAACAGACTAAAAAGCAAGGCAATAGCTATGGTATGCATTTGTGGACATTACATTTAGCACTGGCAACAACTTTTTGTTATGCTAAATAAATACCACTACCTACATTTCACCATACACAAAGCTTCAGAATTACCATTAGCAATTGTTGCCAGTATACACGATTTCCCTTGTCCAAATTGTAAAGTATAGTGTTAAAGTATAGTATATGCAAACTTATTTTTTTCTTTTAAGCTTTGGAGAGAGTTGGGGAGGGCTAGTTTTTATTGCCATTTGTGCCCCAGGTCAGAAAAATGTTGTCACCAGAGCAAGAAGTGAGGGGATATAATTCAATCAGGAAAAATGTTCCAGTGACAACTAAGATGGGGTTGTTAACCCCTTGGCGCCGGAACCTCCTGGACCTTTGAGGGTTTCAGAAGTCGGGAGGCAGGCGGGGTTTTAGGGTCATGTGACCACCATGATTCGCCGTCAAGGCAGTCACATGATCGGGAAAGGTCCCGATCGAAAGAGGAGATCGGGACCTTTCCACGAGTACCGGACATGTGTGCTGGGAGCGCACAGGGTGCACACTCTCAGTGCGTTTTTCTTAATTGCACACAAATGTGCGGCCGCTTGGCGTCAAGACCCAGACGCCGGGAGGCCGCACATTTGCATGAGGCTGGCGCCAAGAGGTTAATCTTTCCCTAGTTAAAACTTATGGAGTATTGCCTATAATTATACTGTAAGCTGGCCATACACTTGAAAATTTGATGAGTTAAAATTTTGTATTCTTTAAAAAGGGGGGAAAAAAAAAGCCAAACCCCAAGAGTGGCAAGGCTTTCTAATACTAAATACCATATGTTTTAATGCAACATCACTTTGATTTAGTTTTTTTCCCTGTTCGATTCCATTTTAATTTGAGCTTTCAATAAACTGTTTTGAAGCTGTCAATTTACTTTCCAGATTTGACTCCTAAATCTACTAAATCCTGGTGGTCAGTTATACTTGTCAGTGGTGGATTTCCTCGGTACCAGAGACCAGTCTAATACAAACATATGAATTGAAGTGCGACTTCCTTTATTATTTGTTATGTACAACTGGGATTAGCAACCAGGACAGAGGCTGGGGGAAAAGCATCTGGAGCAGAACAGTGGATCATTTTCACATGTATTGCTCTGTGCAGACTGGGCCATCACTATCAGCAGAAGATAAACAAGTATAGCTAATTCTATTTAAAGAGCTGACACACATTCAAATGGAACGCATGAAAGTCCCACTGATTTTTATGAATGCCAGAACAGACGAAAGGCATGCTTTCTCTCACGTTGGCTTTATATTTTGAAACAAATCCCTCTATAGGGATATCACAGATTGTAACTACACAGCATTTCATTTGTGTTACTCAGAATTTTAGTGAAAGTGGAGGCCATAATATACCAAATCAAGCAGCCACAAAATATCCATGAAGAAACAAGTGCTACCTTAGGAAACAGGAACTTGGGAATAAAAATACCACTGGGGAATGCATATAGGATACTTGCAGGATTCCAAAGATTTAAAGTGTTCTTCAGTCTAAACTTACTTGTGAAACTAGCTAGCATTCCAGAGCAATGAACGTTACAGTGTTCACTTATTAAGGTGAACAGGTTTTACAATACACCAGCAAGACCCACTAATCAAAGTGCTGCAGCTAAAAGAGTAAATCATTAGCCCTCAATGAAAGCTTTTTAATACTTGACGTAGGCACAAAGCTAATTCTATTTCTCAGCAATGGCCTGGCAAGCATTGCTGAAACCTATAGCTTTCATTTCAGGTTAGCAAACTTTTATTTAATATTCGTTTATTAGGATTAGGTTAGAGCAGGGCACTATTTCCGCTATTTTTATCAAAATTTGCACTTATCCTTTGAATAATAAGCTTGCATCAACAGTCCGTTAACACGTCACAAGCTAAATCCCTATATGCACACTGGAAAAATATATTGCAAGTAAAAACTTACTGCCGACAGTCTTGCCGATCTTCTTGTGGGCTTTAAAAGTAGAAGAAAATATTTCATTATCACAAGCATTAACTAGTAATACACTCAACAGAAAATGTTTGCTAACACAAGTCAAACCGACGACACTCACTACATATGTTTTATGATCATTTATGAACACACAAAATTAATAGAATGTAGATACTCTTTTTTTTTTTTTTTTTTTTACCGATATGACTCGTGCACACTGAGTTTGTTTAGCTCCCCTGAATGGCTTTTGTCCTGGCAGGAGATAAACTGCTTAAAGAAAACGTGCCTAAAGCCGCATTTTGCACACACACTTGAAAGTTTATGGATTCCACTGGGCAGAATATTAAATTTATTCTAGCCGTTGGAATACTTAAAGTGGAGCTCCACCAAAAAGGGGAAGTTCTGCTTTAAGCCTTTGTCCCCCGCTCCCCATTAAGGATTGGCAACTTTGAGGAGCGGGGGGAGGTTTGTTGCTGGATGAGGGGCACCTGAATTTGACAGGTACCCACTCCCACTTCCGCTGTGATTGCCTAGGATATTGGAAGCGGAAGTTGTCCCTCCCCCCTCCCTGCCCGTAGTCTTCTGAGACACGTGACAGGTCCCAGAAGACTACGGGGCCATTCACAAATCGCAGTACTTCCCGCACATGCACAGTTGGCACCCGGCTGTGAAGCCGTAAGCTGTCATGCTAAAGATACCGGCGCCAGGGAGAGAAGATGGCCGGTGAAACCAGCGGTGGCGAGGACACTGCTGGACCGAGGGATAGGCAAGTGGCTGTATTTTAAGAGTCAGCAGTTACAGTTTTTGTAGCTGCTGCCTTATTTTTTTTTTTTAGGTGGAACTCCACTTTAAGCGCTAAATCCACATAGCATTTAGGTGTGTTTAAATGGGTTTATGCGCATCTAGTGTTATTTTCTACCCAGAAGCGCTGGTTTTTCTTTATTCAGCCTGTAAACACTGGTCTTCTAATACGCATGTATATGCCTGTTTGCGCACGGACACATACACTAAGCTAACACTGAGGTGCCTTTACAGGCAGGAAACAAAGTCAAAATGCCTGTAAACGTGTTCCTTTCTAAGTTCAGTGTGCAAGAGGCCCAAGTGGAAGAATCTGAATTGGTGATCTATATTTATGTTAACATGGTTATTCCCCTTAAGGTGTAATTTGTTGAACTATAAAAAAAACGCACGGGAGTCAAATAATTAAGGCTGGAAAGTGCAAAATCTGCTGCAGCTGTGTATGGTAGCCAATTAGCTTATTCCAATTAAACTGAAAAAAAAAAAAAAAAAAACACAACACTGGAAGCCGATTGGTTTATATGCAGTGTTGCACCAGATTTTACACTTTCCAATTTTAGTAAAATCAACCCCACAAATGTTATATTATAAAGCAACATGCAAACATGCTACAGTTTAGAAAATTGTAAAATAAATATTCCTTGAGACCAAAGTTATTCAAAAAATAAATAGGAGTAAAGAAAAAAGGGACGTTTATATTTTCATGAGAAATTTCAAAAGATAAATTCTAACTGTACCTCTTGTTTAGTTACTTTGCCAGCATCCTTGGATTCAGCTCCCTCTGGGGACTGCAATAAAAGAAAAAAAGTTATGAATAAACGTCTGAAAAAATGTTCTGTATGGGTTTGAAGGCAAAATAATACATTTTAAAGCCTGGCAGGCAACTGTTTAGGCAACAGATAATTCCTCAAGTCCCGTTCATACAATAAAACCCATTCGATTTAATGCTGGACCATTCCAAGTACAGAAGTCAGCTGCAGAGCATGCTGGATACGATTTGAATTTTATAAATTAAATTTTACTGTTCTAGATTTTGGTTGCTCCAGGTTCCTCCGTGATCCTAATGTTATACAGGTGTCTACGGTCTTAAAGGTCAACAGGAACGACAAGGTGGAAGTTGATAACATTAAGGAATTCCAAATCTTAACATTTAGTCCCATCATAGAACAAGTGTGAAAAATTGTTGGTAAAGGCAATGACACATTACTGTATAAATCTGTAGACATTCACTCCATTATAGAACCCAGATGGCATTGTAAAAAAAAAAAAAAAGAAAAAAAGAAAGAAAAAATATAATAATTATTATATTTTATAGTCATTTTAAACTCACACAAGGGGTTTGGCTGCCTACTACATTGTTTTTCTCATTGTGACATTAAATTGGTCTTTTTTGTTGTTGTCCTGATCACAAGCTATTTAATTTCCAGAAGTTTGCTAAATGAATGGATGACATTGGGCCTGCAAAACTGTAGCCCAGCGTGTTCAATGATTCAAGCACTGCCTACTCTTTAAGCCCACTCTAGCAATGCCTGCATGTACAGTTATGCCTAGTACACACGATGAGAATATCAGATGAATGTTTTTTTTTTTTGTGGGTTTTTTTCAATTTGCATGCTAGTCTCATTTTGAAAACGAATAGGGTGCTAACATTACGAAAATTCTCGTAAGACAGAATACAACTTCGGAAGTTATGTAATATAATGTATTCTTTCATTTCTGAGCATGCGTAATAAAAATACTGTACTAATTACAAGAATATTGTTCGCTTTGTTATCTCACAAAAATATGTTTTGTGCTTGTTCCGTCAAATATTTTCGCATAAACTCTAGTGATCGGCTCTTGAAAGATGTGTACAAAATGATCAGATTATTGACCCGAAAGCGGTTTTTTTTCCTCTGTAAGATTTTCTCATCGACTGTACTAGGCATTAAACAAGTGGGGGAAAAAACAGCACAGAATCAAGTTACTAATTCCTGCAGTCCTCCCCAGAAACAAAGCATTTGATTGGGGTTTCAACCCAAAAACTAAGCATTTTCAGACTTTAGAAGGGGGAAGGTGAGTGTTCAGTGCTTCTAGTTCTTAGATTGTAAGCTCCAAGGAGCAGGGCCCTGCTAACCCTCTTGTATTGAACTGTATTGTCTCCCTTTATATTGTAAAGCGCTGAGCAAACTGTTGGCGCTATATAAATCCTGTATAATGATAATGAGTCGAAAATTGTCCACTATATCACATGGCAGAAAGGATTAATGTAAAGGTATGTGCAGGCATTGCTTTGTACCTTCAGGAGCAACCAGCCATGTTCTTCACTGACACAATGGCATATCAATTTGGCCACTATGATCAAGTGGCTCTGGGGTTTGCCCATCCACAATATATACCCTTTCTGAATATGAATAATTGGCTCTAGTTTTCTGACCACTACACCCTGTAATTTATATCCCTGTCCTGAAAATTAGAAACCACCGAGAGGTCATCACTAGGATAACCGTAGGGTAAAATTGGGAGTATGCTAAACCAACAAGTTCAGAAACTATATTTACAAAGCACAGAACAGAGTGAATACAATGAAAAAGACTAAACTGTGTGTTCAGCTATTTATTAAGAACTAAGACTTATTAAGTCTACAGGTGTTAGCATAGTGTGATTTTATTTTTATTTAAACAGATGTAGACTGGTAGTCCTACATATTTGGGCAATTCATTCAGTTGTATTTTTTTTCATTCAATCTTCTGCTACGTGCCATAGGGGTAAAGTCACACAAGCAACTTCAGAAGCTGCAGTTTTTTCTGACTCACTTTACCCATAACATGAGGCTGTTGAACAACCCACACTAGGCTGGTGAACTCCATTTAGATCCCATCTGTCTGCAATATGTAGTACAACATCATTCAGAGATAAACCCATAATCAGGAGGAAGTTATGCATGCTTCCAAATTCGCAACCAGGCTGCTGTTGATAGCTGTGGCCAAAGAACAGTGATTCCTAATCATGTGATCACAAGACCTAATCATGGCATTCACAAAACATTTTACACTAATGGGTCAGTGCCCTGAAAAGTGAAATGTTTAGCTATGGCCTGTAGGGCTGATTCAGCTAGAGATTAACGACTTTCAAAAGCACTTCTATATATTTTCCAACACAAGACCATTCCTTTGTGATGGTAGCCAATCCAGAAAGAAGGGGTTAATCTCAATTAATACACTATGGGGTTGATTTGGAAAATCTGGTGCAGCTCCGCATAGAAAGCAGTCAGCTACCGGGTTTCTTTGTCAAAGCTTAACTGAACAAGCTGAAGGTAGAAGCTCAGTGGCTACCCTGCACAGCCAGGTGCCCACACTTACGATGCCAGCGCCAAAGACAGAGGACGGCCAGTGAACCCAGCTGGAGTGAGGACACTGCTGGATCAAAGGACAAGCAAGTGTCTTTTTTTTTTTTTTTTATTGTGTAAAAGTCAACAGCTACGGTTTTTTGCAGATGCTTTTTTTTTTTTTGTAACAGGTGACTGGAGCTCCGCTTTAAGGGGGGACTGGGGGGGTTGCTATTGATTTTTTTTTTACCTCAACACAGAGAAAGAAGAGAAAAAAAATCTAATCATTTACCTCTAATGATTATTATCATAGGTCTGGATTGCAGTTACTAAGGGCTCTCATACAGTGAAGAGATCTGGCCGTTCATTTTTCTGGAGGATTTGTGATTACATCATGCTTCCTTCTGTGTACAGTTGGCACAGCATGGAGTTGTAACCCTCCCGCATCCTTTGATTGACAGCTATGCTAATAGGTTCTCCCCTCATCACAGCAATCTGCTTCTCAGACCCAGGTATCAACAGGCTTTGAGGGGCAGGAGTTAAAATCAGAAACAGTTATGATATAACATATGGATTTAATTTTTTTTTTTTTGAAATATATATTATTTTAAGTGGTTTTACATTTTAGGCTTAGTTCACACTTGAACTCGCATTTCGTCCTGCAGCTCCAACAACAAGCACAAAACGTGGGACCAGCAGGCGGGTGCCATTAATCCTAATGGCACACCACCTGCACTGGAAATCACACTGTAGTGTGCTTCCCTTGCAGGCTGCGATTTCCGGAAAGGTACAGGGACCTTTTCTCTGCGTATTGCGAGGCACAGCAGCCCCTTCAAATGAATGGGCTGCTGTGTCCACGCAAACGCAGCCCGCACACAACGCAAAAGTGTGACCCTATTCTTAAATTAGACTTTTATGGGTCTGTCATGGGTGGCACCACTAGCTTATGCTCTCCCCCACCTGCACCTAGGAACAGCGTATGGAAATGAAACCTCAGTGGTTTAATTGAGCATGGGGAGAATAATCTATCAAATACTAGGTGATTAAAATCCTGCAGTTCAGCTAATATTTTCAGTAACGCTATATAAGTTTACTTTAGAGCCTGTAAACATGTGAGTTTTCCTACACTGAAGCATGGGCAGCACAGTGGATAAATGGTTAGCACTGTCGCCTGGCAGTACTAGGATTGTTGGTTCAAATCTCAACCACAGCACCACGTGCCTGGAGTTTGCATGTTCTCCCTGTGCCTGCGTGGGTTTTGTCTGGGTACTTCGGTTTCCTCCCACACTCCAAAGACATGCTGGGAGGTGAATTGGCTCCTGTCTAAATTGGCCCTAGTATATTTATGTATGAATGCAAGTTAGATACCTTAGATTGTACACCCCTTGAGGGTTAGGGACTGATGTGAATGTACAATATATATGTGTAATGCGCTGCGTAAATTGACGGCGTTATATAACTATCTGTAATAAAATGTTTTCCCCAGAGGCTGACAAAATGAACGGTAGTGCATGAAGAGCAGTTAAATGTACAATCAGGTTCTTTACTATGCAGAAAAGGAATACATGTTTTCTTTAACTTTATCCATAGAACACACAAATAAGAACCAGTCTATACTTTAGCTGTTAGAAGCACGTTCTCATAAAAAAGCCCCCAAAATTCCATAGCAGTAAATTTGGGAGTGGTTACGAAAATACATGTCTGAAGTGACTGATTGAGGGAACGTATTTACTAAAGAGCAGACTTCAGAAGTCCCATTAAACGGATACAGTCACATGTGAAACTACATGTGGTGCAAATCTGAAGCCATGTCTAATTTGTTAAGAACGTCACATACAGGCGGATGATGGAAAGTCATCAGAAACTAAAATAATTCACAAGTGAAAAGTTGCTGCAGCAAAAAGCTTCATAGGGAGCATTCAACACTATTGTAGACCTCAACACCACTACATTCACAATGGCTGTGCTCATGCAGATGTTACAATTACATTATAAAATTTGTGAGTGCACTTGAAATGTAAAGGTCATTTTATCCAGTTTGTGAGCTGCAGCTTCCCAGTATTTGAGTACAGTAAAACTCGCACAGGGCAAACAGCTGAAAAGCAATAAATGATTTGTTCTACAGAAAACTTGACCAAGTATCACCAATTTGCATACAAACACAGAAAAGGAAGGGACATTGTTGGTAAAAGAGCACTAAAACCCAAAAAACAAAAATGTAATACACCGTAGCTTGCAGTCTTATATAGATGTGCTGCTTGCATTAGTCCCCCCCCCCCCCCCCCAAAAAGAACACTTTCAGCAAATACCTGTTGATCTTGCATTAATGCAATGTTCTTGTCCCTTTCTGCAATCTACAGAGGTTATCTTCCTTCCCAGTTATTTTCTGTAAACTACCACCAATTGCCCTGGTCCCGTGTAATTTAGATGAAAAGATAAAGATGTTTGTAGTCCACATCAGGGGAGCAGCTTGCTATGGGG